AGGCGAAGCCGAGCAGCGAGTAGCAATGAAGTGCATGGAGAAAGTTGGCTACGGTCGTAGTGAGCAAGCTCCTGTCGCTACTTCCAATCCAAAAGAAAGAAAGTCATTGAATTGTCGTGACTTCTTATCCGATAGGAAGGGAATGTCGTCAAAGAAGGCGTGCACCTCTAAACATTTTTGTGGAATTGCATTGACGCGCATCACTTATTGTGCAATTTTAAACAATGGAATGCACTATTAGATTTCCATCAAATCACACTATCTTGAAAATTTTCAATTTCTAAGAATTGAGAATTTGATATTCATCAAGTATGAGCATGACAATTGTGATTTTTTAGAGTAATCCATTCTTCATCACAATTGGGCTTGTCACGCCAATTTATAAGAAACGTCTAAACTTTGCCATTAATACAAGACACAATTTTATCATCCATAATTACTTAGGAAAAATCGAGCAGACAAATTTGCAAGGTATGTAAAGAGATAAGAATCCACAGTACTTCAATATTCAAATGCCTAATTTCAGTGATTTTTTTTTAAGTGAGAATTAATTTGAGTGGATATCCATTTGCCTAATCAATTATCAATCTTTCAATTGAATTCCTCCACTTTTGGATATATTTGTAATCAAATAAAATCCAACCAAATCAAATATTTGGCCTTGATACCACATCTCCAAAATTTGGAAGGAAAATTAAGGCAAGAAATCATAATTTCACAAAATATTTTCCAGAGCCACCCTTCATCTACAAACCCCAAAAAAATAAATCACCCCATCGACCATATTAATCCAACTCAGCTCACATATAACCAAACCTAACCTAAGTTTACTAAAGCCTAAGCTCTCGTGTAAACTCTATGCCTTTTTACCCCTTAATATTATGAACTTATTTCTCTCATTTCTCATTAGAATCAAGTATTTTTTTTGTATTTGTCACTCCATACTTTACATCTTTTATATTCGGTAGTTTGGTTGATTTTGATGATATACATTCTAGATTTCTTCACAAGTTGACTGTCTTGGTATGTCCTACTCAACTTGAGTCGTATTGTTCCTTCCCCCAACCCTACGAAGGTTTTGAATATTGAACTAGACATTAAACTAACAGAAGAAAAGTTTTAAGATCCAAAGGTTCAACTTGAATTCAACAGGGAATTGATCTACGATGGGAAAACAAACTATCAACTAAAGATACTTAGAAGACCCAAGAAAAACAATAAAATATTGACCCTAATTTGTTTGAGAAGTGCAATAATTCTAATTCTCCAAAAGAGAATTCGTTGAAGTCCATGGGAATTGATGCAAGACTACTTACTTCATATAGGATCAAGCATGAGAAGGCTACAGAAGTTCAAGTTAAGCAAAAAATAAGCACCAAAAGTGAGACCAAATCAAGCATGGGCTAAGGCAATTGAAGCAACTATGATGCACCGATACAGACACGGAAACACGGACACGACACGACACGGGACATGGCTATCATTAATAATATAGGACAAGAGTACGGCGCGGACACGACATTATAATTTTTTAAATAGTCTATAGAAATTAATATAAAATCATATTAGAAACGACAATCAATAATAAATCAATATCATAATTACTTGTCTATCCTAACATCATCAAGTTTGGCTCGAGTATAAACTTACCGTGTGCATACGGAGGACAAGCAAGCTATCATTACATTGTCCATCAATCAAATAAACTTGATATGGATTTTCATGTTGAGAGACCATAAAATGCAAGTTATGTTCGTAATACTGAACTTGATGTAGTAGGATTTGTGGAGATCTTATACTAGCTATGCAAAAATCCTAGAGACTTCTGCATGCAATATGATGACAAAACTAACTAAAATACAAGATGAAGTTTTTAATGGTTTGCTATCATAGGCATGCAAAACTCATATTCTATTATGTATAAATATCAGTGGTGAAGTTTGGGATAAATAATCAACAATGAATAATATATTATTACAACAACAATATCAAGCCTTTATCTCACTACGTGTGGTCGCCTACATGAATCTTTTTTCTCCATTATATTCGGTTAAGAGTCAAATTCTCATTTAGATCTAATAAACAAAGGTCATTCTAATATTTTCTCACCAAGTCTTTTTAGGTCTACCTCTACCTTTCTTAACATATACTAAATTTAATACATCTACTCTCCTAACCAGGTCATCGGAAGGCCGCCATTTTATGTGACCAAACCATCTAAGGCGACTCTCTCTAATCATATATGCCGCTGGAGCTACTCCAACCTTTTCACGTATAAGCTCATTTTGTATCCTGTCTCTAAGAGTAAAGACACTCATCCACCTGAGCATCCTCATCTCTGCAATACTTAACTTAATAGTATGCTTCTCTTTTAATGGCCAACATTCTGCACCATTAAGCATTGCAGTTCTAACCACCATCTTATAGAATTTTCTCTTAAGTTTGAGTGTTACTTTTCTATCACACAACAAGCCCGATGCATTCCTCCACTTCAACCATCAAACTTGAATTCTACTAATAATATCTCCATCTATTTCACCATCACTCTGAACAATAGACCCAAGATATTTAAAACGTGTACTCTTATTAATGACTTGATCAACTAAAGTCACAATCCCTCCACTATAAGTATTATTACTAAAATTACACTCCATATATTCAGTTTTAGATCTACTCAAACAAAATCCTTTAGACTCTAAGGCAAAGCCCTACATAAGGTCCTAATTGGGTACCCATTGGGTACTCATGTTTTACTCGGACGGGCTTCGCCCACCCACACCCACCCATGTTAACTTTCTGGATTTCGTACCCACCTATACCCACCCACTTTCCATGTTTTTTGAACACAGTCTGCCACGGACTGATTGGCCTTGAGGCTTATTGTCATTTGCTATGATGGCAAACTTTCAAGTTGCATATCAAAATTTATCATACTCGTAGCATGGTTAAGTGCTAAACAATACTTAGTGATGATTGTAATAGTATAAGTAAGATATACAATGAATAGCAATGTAAATCGATTTATTCCTCGATGTTTAGTACCCACCCATACCCACCCACAAGGCCATGGGCGTACCCATACCCACCCATACCCATTGGGTATGGGTGGGTACATGGGTGGGTATGGGTATGGGTACCTAATGCAGGGCTCTGCTCTAAGGTTAACCTCCATAATTCAAGTTTACATTCAATTGCCTCTATAGTCTTATCAACAAGAAGAATAGCATCAACAAAAAGCATACACCAGGGTAAATATATTGATGAATAATATAGTATTAATTAAAAAATAATAATAATAAAGAACTTCAACAAATTGAATGGTTTTGTAAACCTTAATCCTAGAACTCAAAAGAGCTTCTAGCATTTGGGATCATATGCCATTCCTAGCTTAGATCATCAGTTGTTGAAGGTTGAGGATTTTAGTCATCATTCACTTGATTAAATTAAGAACAATCACCAAAATAATAAAGAAGAGTGAAATTGAAAAGATAAATAAAGAACATCCTATATCTTCTAAGCCAACTTACGGAGCATCAATGCAGACAAACGACTTAGATGCCCTAGTCAAACGAGTCGAACAATCACAAACTTACTTTTGACAATGCAGACATAATTGAACGAGTCAGATGCCCTAGTTGCATGTGGAAATGATGAAAATAACTACCGATAAAGCTTCAATCAAGCGTACGACGCTCGTGCGTCCTCGTATGCATGTGAAAATGAATAAGACAATGAACACCAACATTTAATTGCACATTCAGCTTTGCATGCCTTTGGAAAATAAACAAGACGACAAAGACGCAAGCTCCTTAGGCCTCTCTTGCCTGCGTATTATGCTTTATCGGCCTCGCCTACTCGCATATTAAGCTACTCCGGCCTCGCTTGCTCGCGTAAACAAAGAAGACGACACAAAACTCTCGCCTGCTCGTGGAAATGACTTTGAATACAAAAGGATGCGGGATAACCTAGATGTATGCAGTTCGGTTCATTTTATTTTATTTAAAGACTTTAATTTTTTTTAATTAAATATCATTGAAAATATTAGGACATGCGTGTTTGTTTAAATTTAAATATTATTTTAATCGGACACATTTCAGCCGTGTTTGACATGTGTCCTAGTTGTGACAGGCGCATGTCCGTGTACGACACAGCATACCTTCATAAGTAGGTGCGGCGGTGCATCATAGTGAAGCAGGAACTTATTCCTAGGCTTAGCATGGGGTAACTCTTCTTGGTTGAATTTTGCATTGTCCTTTTTTTATTTACTTATATATTATTATATTATATAGATATGCATTAATAGGTCATCCGACCTAGCTCTCCCTCTCTTTTGACATTATCCAACCTCTCTTACCACTCCCCTCTCTCTCATTGTTAGTTAGCGAAGCTTGGAAGCAAAGAAAATACAAGCAATATTCAATGTACAATGATAGAAGTCAGTTGCATAGAAGATATCTCCATTGGAATACTTGGTATGTTCATGTTATTTGAGGGATTAAAATTTCAATGTTTGCAAGTTTGATGTGTTTCAGTATTAATGATATAAACGCTTTTGTATACGCAACACTGATAAACCAAACAAATATCAAAACATATAGCATTGCTTTCAATCCTTCTAAATGTGAAATATGGTAGTCAAACAGTTGCAGCAACTCGAGTTTGCTATATAAATTTTATAGGCCAATTCACTGCTAATGCAGCCCTCGCATGGTAGCAAAAGACATGATTTGAAATTTTGAATTAGTTGATTTTCTATTAACCATCTATATCACAATGCAAAGTTTATTCCGTTGCTCATTATTTTGTCCAGTTAGTTTCAACCACAGCATAATTATGAAAATCAATTGAGCAATTTCAAAATCACAATTAGTACTACACTTTTATGGAACAAAAATACTTTAACTCATCTGTCTAAAGAAGCACATCAATAAATTAAAAATCAATTCATCTGATAAAGAGTAATCAACTCAAATTGAAGGCCTAAAATAGAAACCAAATACCTCACAGGTGAAGATAACCAAATTTGCCTATTTGGTGTTTGCTTGTTAATCACATAGGTGCCCAAGTTACCAAGCTTCAGTGTCAAAACCTGATTCTGCCAATACACATGGAACAAGACAATTCAATGACTTTAGCCAACTACAAGTAACATTACCTTCAAGCTTTAAAAATTTCCAAATGCTTCAATTTAACTGACCCCAAAGTCAATGTCAAAACCATCACTCTGGATTGAATCACCATATTCCTGACATCGAAATGACAAGTTAAAACGTTAATAGAATATAATCATTGGTCACTTCTAACAACATTGAATCTGGAATTCGAGAACTATGAACAAAGACTAAATTGGTGAGAGAACAATAATTACTTCAAACTTTTCCTGCAGATTATATAAAGTCGAATCCGCTACCCTGTGAAACTCATCTTCTGACACGAGCATTCTGTCAAGAACTCACAATTAAGCAAAAAGTTGAAGTACTAACCATACATTTAAAAGCTTATCAAATAGAGAAACATTGGAAAGCTGCAGATAAAAGGCAAAGTCAAATTCACAGAGAAAAGCAAACAGATTGCGAAGCTGAATTTTTCGAAGGAAATAAAATTCAACTTTCTATGGTCTTACTGGTAATCAATAGCGGCCGGGCCTGCTTCCTCATCAATCTGAGAAGGATGCGAGCAGAAGAAAGCTAACCTACTAGAAACGCTGGGGAACTCACATAACAAGAGGTCAGCTCTTCGGATGCAATAGAAAGCCGTGGCAGAAGGAAGAACTGGAGATGAGAAGAAAAAAGACGAGGTAGAGGAGAGAGAACGTGGAACCATAGAAGGGAGAGACCTCCCAGCTAGCAACCGCCGAAATAAAAGCTTTGGGGAGGACGAGGACACCATGGGCGTTGAAAGAGATGCCAACAGGCGAAAAAAATGCTGTTTGGATACAGGATTAATGTAGGATTTGAGCCTGCCAAACAGGATTTAGGGAACTGTTAAATCTCACAGCCAGTTAAATCCTCCGTTTCCCTCTTTTTTGTCGTAAATCCCTGATTTACAAAATGCGGGAGTTCGGCGGATTTGGCCAAAGAAGCGCGCGAAAGGAAGAAATATGGCTAATTGCGAAGCTCCCGTTGTTACTTCCGATCCTAAAGAAGAACAGCAAGGACTGACTTCGGATCCGACAGGGATGAGCGTCGTCGAAGGAGGCGAGCAACGAACAGCCGGAGAAGGGAAAAGATAACCTGCGGCTATAAGAAGGCATTGATGAACAGGTATTGCCACATAATATAGGAATAAATTAATTTAGTTTAATTAGGTTAATTTAATATTTATTAAGAATGTAATGTAATTAATTAATAAAAATTTATTTAGATTAATTGATAATATTTTCCCACAAATAATAATAATAAATAACCTAAATTCTAATTATAAATTTATAATGATTAGTTAATGATGAAAATTAAAATTTATAATTTATAATTAACTCATAAATAATAATATAATCAAAATTAAAATTAATAAGTTATTTTATAATTAAATTATTTATTAATTATATTATTTTTATAATTTAATTTATTGCTAGTAATTAAAGTTATAATTAATAAGCAATTTGTACTTAAAATAAAAAAAAAATTAAAACACAAATTAAATTAATTTTTTTAATGAATTAATAGCTTAAAATCTTGTATTACTTTGTCAAATGATTCTACAGGATTTAACACTTATTTTGTAAAACAATTTTCAAGATTTAACTTCAGTCGAATTTAATAAATCTAAATTTATTAGATTTACTAAATCCTACTTGTTGCATCCTGGAATATTTGCAGCATTACAGAAATATAAAGTTTAATGTCTTAGCTTTATACGAAGATCCAGCACAAAATCAAATAAAAAGATAGGGGTGTAGTATTCATAAGAGACACCAAAGTTTTTACGTCGAAACTCCTAAAAAGGAAAAAAATCATGTGGCCTCACCAAATTTGAATGAACCCATTAGTGTTTGTAGTTGATTATAAATGAGACCCTTTTTGGGTGGAAAGCTTTGGTTCAATGTATCAAATATACATCATATAGAGTGCACTACATGGTGGGAGTTGGAAGAATCAAAGTTGACATGTTCATTTAGTCAGCAGGACCATTATCTGCAAATAATGTAAGTCGGAAGGATCATAGTCGGGCGACGGTGGTCGGAAGGATCATAGTCGGGCGACAGAGGTCATAAAGACCGTATTATTCAGGTGACGGTGATCTAAAAGATCATAGTTGGAAGGCGACGAATGTCTGGAAAGACCGTAGTTGGGTGACAGAGGTTGGAAGGATTGTAGTCAGGCGATGGTAGTCGGAAGGATCATAATTGGTGGGTGATAGAGGTCGAAAAGACTGTAGTCTGGTGAAAGTTGTTGGAAGGACCAAAGTTAAGCAATGGTGGTTTGAGAGACCATATTATGGAGGTGTTGGTCGGAGAGATCATAGTCAGTGGGCGATGAAGGTCGAAAAGACCGTGGTCTGGTGATGGTGATCGAAAAGATAGTAGTCGACTAAAGGTGGCGATTAGAAGCACCGTTTTTAGGCGATGGCGGCTTAAAGGACTGTAGTCGACAAGTGACGATGTTCGGAGTGGACCGTATTATGCGAGCAATGGTGGTCATAGTGGACCATAGTATGGCGATGGCAGATGGCTAGGTGGGAGTCCGATGACAATCGGTGGTCGAGCGTAAGTCTGGAGATAGTTGGTAGCCAGGCAGAAGTTTGATGAAAGTTTGACAACATTAAATGGTCGGGGAATGGTCGAGGAGTTAAGAGAATTCTCTAATTTCTCTTCCTTTCGACTCTTTATTCCCTTCCTTGCTTCATCATCCTTTGTTGAACAATAAAGGATCTATTCATAATTTTTGGGAGTGGCATGACTAGTAAATAGGGAGAAGAATAAGGGCACGTTGGGAGTGGTTCGAATGGACGGCCGATATCGATTTCTTTGATCATGTGCCTTTTATCAAGTATTTAAGCGCCTTAATAATGTCAGAATTCAATAATCTTAAGCTCGTTGTATTAAACTCATCGAGTCGCTCAATTCGACTATGAGATACGACATTTGGAGATCATTTGGTCATCCAATTTATGATTTGAACCTTCCAAATAGCTTTGGATATGCAATTTTGACCAATTTGGGATCAGATTGAGTTGAAATTAGTATCGTTGGGTTCATCTTTTTTGAGACGTTCAGTTTGACTATAAGTTTGCTAAAATTGAAGTTGAGATGATTCAGGATTTCATTTCAAAAGTTTTTAATTAAAAATTGACTCAAGATTCATGCCCAATCACAAAAATTATATGATGATGTATCAGCTGCTCCCCTTCGACTAAAAGCTTTTTATTTTGATTCATAAGAGACACCAAAGTCACGATATAAGAGACACCGAAGTCACGATCAAGCTGTTCTGAAGTTTTGAATCTCGTTAGATTTTAACACTTCTGGAGCTAAATGGCGATCAAAGCTTGGGAGAAAAATCTAATCAGCAGATAGATAGAGATTTTTTGCAATGGTAGTCAGAAAATAGTGTCGATCAAATCAAAAATTGACCAGCAGATAAGCTGATGTCTAGAAACAATCAGTGAAGATTTTTTACAACATTAGCATTTAGGAGGAGAACTGATGATAATCAACAGACAGGGGAACTTCTGGTGATAATTGATGGTCAAGTGGTATTTTGTTGGAGATAACATGATGACGGAGGCAAAAGATAGATATCTAGACTGAGGGGATAAAACATTGTGTTGATCGTAATAATCTAATAACATGCCCATGTTGCCAATTAAGTGGAGTCTAGAGGTTTGCAATGAGTTTTCTTTTATCACCTTGATTTATTGCAATGCACGAGATGATGTCAATGTAATTGTAATTTCAACTTCTTGTGAAAATGAATGTACAATCAAACATGATGTAGAATTTTAATATATAAATCCAATGATATTATATATAGCTTTAATGTTTGATTTTTGAAGTAATAAAGGCTCTACATTCATGTAAGAATATTTTTTTGTGTCTGAATTTGCCTCCCCGAAAGAAACACTATATCTATCGTAATAATCTAACAACTTGCTCAGTCCACAAAGGATGTTTGAGGTGTCTGAGGTTATTTGTCAGAGCAGTGTTCGTTGACATTAACCTATGTGAAAGAGGTCGAGGGAATCCACCAAGGATGTTTAACCTATCCGAGATCATTTGTTAGATAATTTCTCGATAATATTAACTATATGAAAGAGGTCGGGATAATCCACCAAGGATGTTTGACCTATCCGAGATATTTGTTAGAGCATTGCTAGATAACGTTAACCTGTGTGGAAGAGGATGAGAAAATTCACCCATGATGTTTGACCTATATGAGAATATTTGTCATAATTTTATTCAATGATATTAACCTGTGTGGAATAGGCCGATGGAATCAATCAAGGATGTTTGACCTATCCAAGGTTGATTATCAGAGTATTGCTTGATAACATTAATTTATGTATAAGAGGTTGAATTGAAACCCCCTAAAATCAGTATATCTTGATTGGGAGGGTGTGAATGCCGTGTATATCCCAAATTAAAGATAAAATTTTATTTATCTTTAGACCGTTACTATTTTTTTGAGGTCGAGGTTAATACCTTGCCCAATGAGTTGAAGTCTAACTAGAGCTTATGTAGAGTTTGAAATTAATTTGAAGCATCATTGCATTTGTTGGGAGATTTATAAAAAATGGTTTCCAAAGGTATTGTCATGGATATTGAAAATGCTAGAGAAATTTTCTTGGTCAGAGTTAGAGTCAAGGTTTCCCCCCATTTCATATATGATTCTTATGAAATTGATGCAATAATGACTGATGTTGAAGATGCATTAAAATAATGCATAAGGTTATAGTTAATAGTGAAAGGATTCTTTCAGATCTGATAATTAATTTTGATAAAGGGACTATGTTGCTTCAACCATGATGTTGATGTGTGAATGGCCTTTCCAGGTTGGAGCAAAAATTGTCCCAGACAGAAATCATGTTCCCACATACAGTGCCAAAGAGTTGCATCCTAGAATATTCATGGTGGTAGAAAAATATAGTTTAACGTCTTAGCTTGAATGATGTAGCATTCATAAGAGACACTGAAGTTTTTACATGAAAACCCTTAAAAAAAAGGGGGACAAAACTATAAGGCCTAGCACAATTTGAATGAATCCGTTAATATTTGTGGTTTATTACAAATGAGGCCCTTCCTTGGGGGGAAGGATTTATCTCGATGTAATAAATATACATCATATAGAGTGCATTACATTGTGAGAGTTGAAAGAATCAATGTTGACATGTTCGCTTAGTTAGCAAGACCATAGTCAGCGAGTAATGTAGGTCGGAGCGGGTGATGATGGTTGGAAGGGCCAAAGTCAGCAATGGAGATCAGAAAGATAGTCGAGCAACGGTGGTGGGAAAGACCATAGTCAGGCAACACTTGTAGAATGACCGTAGTTGATGGGAAATGGAGGTCGAAAAGACCGTAGTCAAATGATAGTGGTTGAAATGATCGAAGTTAAGCAATGTTGGTTTGAGAGATTGTAGTATGGAGATGTTGGTCAGAGAGATCATAATCAGTGGGCGATGGAGGTCGGAAAGACAATAGTCGGCCGATAGTGGTCGGTAGAGCCGAAGTCAGCTAGAGACGATAGTCGGAGGCCCCATAATTAGGTGATAGTGGTCAAAAGGACCATTGTCGGAAACCAACAGTATTTATAGTGGATTGTATTCAACGAGCAGCGATGGTCAAAGTGGACCGTAGTCTGGAGACATGTACTGTTTATAAAATATTTAAGTACATCAATGATATCAGATTTTGACAATCTTAAGCTTGTTGGATTTGTCACGTCCAGTCGCTCGATTCGACTATAAGCATGTCACATTTGAAGATCATTTGGTCATCTAATTTATGGTTTGAACCTTCTAAATGTGCTTCAGGTCCTCGATTTGAACCCATTTGAGCTCGGATTAGGTCGAATTTGGTGTCATTTGGTTCGTCTTTTCAAGATGTTCAGTTCGACTATAAGCAACTTTTTCAAAATCAGATCAGGCCAGACAGTTCAACTGTGAATCAGCCGTGTTTTCGATCTGATCAAATTCAAAAACCCGATTTGCATCAAATCGCACAAATCGGTTTAAACCGGCAGTTGAACTAGAAACCAGTAAAATCGGTGCCATTTTTTTTATAACCGGTCATTAAAAAAAATATTTAATT